TCCAACTCTGTTTAAGAAATGGAAAGTGAGGGATTCTGTTGAAACCAACAAATTTCTGCCACAACTGCCAGAAAAATTGTAGGGGATGCAAAGAAAAACCCAGAAATAAATTCAGCTGAAATACATGTCTCTCTGAAAAAGGTGACATGGATTTTTTAAGGAGCACAATGCAGATATGCGTTGCATGGTCAAGTTCCCAGAAGAAAACCCATTACTACTAAAATGTCACAATATGCTCATAATACGCTAATACGCAGCCTCTAAACTTTTGGAAAGAAGTTAGTTGGAGCGATGTGACCACAATTTTTGGCCTCAACCATAAACACTACATTTGGAGAAAAGTCAAAATGAACAGAACACCATCCTCACTGTGAAACATGGAGGTGGGTCACTGATATTTTAGGGATGTGTGAGCTCCAGACGCTCATGAAACTTGATGGGGAGATGAATGCAGCATGTTATCAAAGGATACTGGAGGAAAATGTGCATCATCAACTGTTAAACTGCGCGTGAGACGTTACTGGACCGCGTCCACAAGTCATTGGTTCCACCAGAACAAAGAACCGCAATAGCTTGGACCTCATCAACAACTACCTCAAGAGACTTCAGGCTGTCAATGATGTAAAAGGGGGAGTACAAAATATTAAGGGCTGGGGTGTGTAAACATTTGATCAGGGTAGTTTGGAAACTTGTGCTTGTTTTCAACAGAGTTATTTGACAACAAATGGCCTCACCCAACCACTAACTATGATTCGAAAAAAAAAACAAAAAAACTTTTTGTTATATTTTCTGAAAAATGACCAAGAAATCCACAATTTTAACTTGAGCACAAATGTATATGTGATCCATCAAACATAACAGAAAACGAGTTAATTTACACTATTTCCATCTCAAACTATTTATGGAAAAGTTGTATAGGGGGCGCTAATGAGCATAGTACAAGTAAACAATTTACACATGTATGCAACAATTGTAGCGCCACCTACCTATCAGCACTTGCGCAGATTTTTGTCTAGTTTTTATTATTACAGCATTATATATGATAAAATTTAGGATCAAGCAGTTTATTGCGGAGCGATGTGCTATGCGTGGATAACTCTGCCATTTTATGTAGTTTTTTTAAATTTCCCAATTGAAAATGAAGGAGAAGGGAAGCTTACTCCCCTAACAGATCGTCGTTTTCGATTCTAGCATCTGTGCAGCCAGAGATTTCATACTATTGCTATGATATAACATAAAGATTGGATCATTTTTGATTAAAGGGCAGATGGTTGAAGAGCTAACGGGTCTCACAAATACCTCTTCACAAATTTGCGTGTTATTTTATGTAAAATACATCTACAGTTTTTTATGTCTATGGTTACTTTACAGTGAACACTATAACAAGGTTGGTGTGAAACCCTCTTACGTCGTGTTCAAAACACGCAGTCTTCTTTACCTCTGTTGTATTTCCATCCAAGTTTTAGAGATGTTTACAGTGAGTTTCTGTTGAACAATAATTTGTTTGTTGGAACAACTGAACGGCTCTCTTTGTGTGTTGTCCAGAATAAATCAGACATGCTGAATGGCTTCATTCCTCTCCTCATGGGAGGCGGTGCTTTGAGCTGTCTGTCAAGAGTGGGTGTGGCCTCCAGTACCCTAGGGGTGGAGTCATGTCCAAATCCTCCATTTGCCTTGAAGCAACTTTTCTCGAGCAGTCAGCAGAAGCAGAATGCCATGTCTGCCCTGCTAAACTCGGAATCAGGTTCAGAGCTGCTACCGATGCTGCAGAGCGTGTGCGGTCAGGTGACCCAACGCCGCCTAGAAGAAGCCACATCTCCAGAGAGGAAAACCAATGGAGAGGGGTAAGAGTCGAAGAAATATGGTATATATAATGGTTGTAGCCACATTGTTTTAAGAAGTTTAAAGGTATCACTCTACTTTTGTTCACACATTGACATCACAGGGAGAGTCGTGTCTGTGCGGGAGAGCTGGAGAAGCTTCTGGAGACGGTTGTAGAGAAGAGAATGGATGAAATGGAGAGACGGCTCAAGGAGCATCTGGACCAGCGTCTAGATGCACTACAGCAGAGACTGGAGAACACACTGCAGCTGGCGCTCTCTCATAAACAACATGAGTAAACAACATCCTACAAACTTAGCCTTGATCTTTGCTGCACTGATAACACGGTTACTCTATGAGGACGCTCAGCTGAAGTCGGTTGTTTTTAACAGTAATGTTTGTACAGTTTTGAGAAAATCATTTTTATTGCTTTGAACATTATTTAAAATCTGTGTTTTTTTCCTAATAGGTCTGTCTACTTGGACTGCACTGACATTGTTTGTCCTGTATTTATGTCAATTAGCTTGCAAACACATGGGGTTGTTCTTTTTGACACCATTTACATAAGACAGAAAGCATTTTGTCTCAAAGTTGCTACACTTCCTCCTCTGAGAATAAATTTTCCTCTGTTATTTAAATTATTACAAGCAAAACCTCTCTTTTGGGTTTGTTAAAAATGAACATAACACTTTAGTTCAATAGCGTGCAAACTGATAGCGCTGATACTGATGAAAAAACATATATTTTTGTTTTAATAAAAAAAAAATACACCATTTGCAGTTTTGCCTGTTTTTTTCTAACTTTCTTTAGGTTCGTAAAAAAAATGCAGTCAAGTAAAAGACATTGGTAAAATTTTTATCCTACCACAAAAGCCAAAGGAGTACGGGGGTAAACTTTGTGAGGGAACACAAAAATGTTTTGCCAGGAGATTTAAACTTTGTGAGGGAATGGCAATTTTTTTTTGCGTGGGATTGTAAAAATGTTTTGCGAGGACAAGCAAACAGCAAGAGAATGCGAAAAGATTTGTGAGTGAATGCAAAAAATACTTTGCGAGGTTATGCCAAATTATTTTGTAAGGACACTCAAACTTTGCGAGGTAAAATGATTTGAGAGGATATTGGAAGCTTTGGAAAGGGAACAGAAAATTGAGGATACTCAAACTGCAAAGTAGCAAAAACGTTTTGCCAGGGCACACAAACTCAGCGAGGAGACGCAAAAATGTTGTGTGAGGATACTTAAACTTTGCGAGGTAGCACAAAATTTTTTTGCCAGGGCATGCAAACTTTGTAAGCACACACAAAAAATGTTTTGTGGGGGCACATAACCTTTGTGAGGGAATACTAAAATGTTTTATGAGTGCATGCAAATATGTTTTGTATCAAATATGTGAAGGATGGTGGTGGCAATGTTAGCGTGATAGAAAGATTTTTCAAATCTTTTGTGTTCCCTCGTTAAAGATTGTATGCCCACGAACTTTGCGAGGAATCGTAAAAATGTTTTGCAAGGACAATCAAACTTTGAGAGGCAGTGCAAAAACGGTTTGCGAGGACACTCAAACTTTGCAAGGGAACAAAAATGATTTGCAATGGCACGAAACTTTGTGAGGGTATGTAAAAATTTTATGTGAGCACACTCAAACTTTGCGAGGTAGTACAAAAATGTTTTACGAGGACATGCAAACTGTCATGTAACAAAAAATGTTTTTAAAATCGTTTGTGTTCCCTCGTTAGGGTTGTGTTCCTTCTCAAAGTTGTGCATTGCCTTACAAAGATATTTTGTTTGCCAATGTGTTTAGAGAGGGAATTTTAAAAAGAATTTGAATTCGAAATTTTTGCTCCCACCACCATGGCCGTTTAGGGTCTCTGCAGTTTTGCAAGGACAAGGAAAAAGTTTTGCAAGGTTTTTTATTAAACAGGAATGTTGCATAAGGAGAGAACAAATTTTTATGTAAGCTAATCATTAACATATACGGATATTTAGGTACTAATTGGTTAAACAGCAATGGAATTTTGGGAGGAGTCTTTAAGTTGTATCAAGTAGCAGGTGTACTGATGATGAAATGTGTTTCTGCCAGTCTGATGATGAAAACTGAGAAGCTGGATGCTGAGTTGTGAGGCGAAAAAGATAAGGTGAGATTGGAGAGCCATGGCTTATACTACGGGTTAATTCAACCTAGCTACCGTTACTATTGCACAAAGCTGTGATTGGTAAGCAGCCATATTGGTATGTGTGGATCACAGCTTGAGATTGTTTCAGGAAGCTCTGGGATGAGGAAGTGGTGTTTTACGGGAATACTGTACTTCATCTGACTTCAGCACAGCTTGATGCTCTCGAGTCATTAGTGGGAAGAAACATCTGTGTTTAGCTTTAGTTTTGTGTTCCCAATGATTCATGTTGCTGCACTTTTTTAATATAATCACAAATGTCCAGATGTGGAAGCTTTTGTGTTTCAAAATTCAAAAGCTTTTGAAGAATCACCACCCTGAGGTGAATCTGACAAGCATCTATGGATAGATTGTTGTTTAAATTTACATAAATACAGATTGAGCTGCTTGTGTTTTTTTTTTTTTTTTCCATTCATAATATTTTTTGTGCAGTTTTATTCAGACCAGTGTTGGAAATGGCCAAATTTTACAAGGGGGGTGCAAACCTGGATATACATTAAACAGTCTCATAAACTTATTGTTGTTACAAAATGCAAAGTGAGCAAACAAAGGAAATTGTATTAAAACTAAATTGATATTCGGTGTTACTACCTTTTTTCTTCAAATAAGCAACAACTCCTACAGGTTCAACTACACAAAAACCAATGATTTAGTGGGGTTTTAGTCAGGTGAAAATCAGCCATTATTATTAAACATAATATTTGCTCATAAAAGTCAAACATCGATTGAAACCCAGTTGTGAACTGAAACAGAAACAGCTGTGTAGGAGGCTTAAAACTAGGTGTGGAACTAGTTTTTAGTTAGTTAAGAAAGACAGTTTTTTTGTGACAAGATTGAGCACACCAACAAGACACAAGGTAGTTATACTGCATCAACAAGGTCTCTCCCAGACAAAATTTGAAAATGTCATCATGACAGGAATTTGTGCTCTGTAACCCATCCAAGTGAACACAGACCCAGAGCAGTGGGCAGCGTGGGACACCCACAGTGCACTCATGTTATGGTCGTGAAAGTGGAAGTTGGGGCTGGGGATCAAACCAGCACCCTTCAGACCACAAGTCAATCACCATATCCACTAGGCCACAACTGCAGCATGGGATTTCAGGATTTGCTGTTCTTGCTCCTTTGAAGAAGAAGATGACAGATACATTAAGCATTTACCCTCAAAATTGTACAATTTCCAGCATTTCATTCAGCTCAGAATTTGCAGAAAATAGTGGATCTTAGACACACCCATCTACTGTATGGAAGGAAGTGATCTTCGTGGAAAAGTTGCAGCCAAAATGCCATACCTTTGACGTGAGAAGACCATGTACTTACACCAATCGCTATAGACACTGTGTAATTGCATCAGAAGTCACATGACCATGACAGCCACCAGAAATTAGCTTGGCACTAAATGTATTACTTGGCTGAAATTTAATTACTTTAAAATCCAAAATTCTTTGGTTTTATAACCTTGTGAATTTGTAAAATACTCAAAATATACAACAGTTTGAGATCCATACAAGGGGCAACCAATGACAGGATCTGATTTAGATGATACAAACCACAGCCCCTCTTAAAAACAGCCTTCATAGTTTGACCCTGGGAACGGTAACTTAAGCAAACAAAATTTTACAGGAAAATAGGAAAGTGTTACAAAAGGAAAGTGGTGGCCAAGAACAATGATGTATTTGTAGAACCTGAGACGTTTTTGTGTGTATGCTATCTTGATTTATGCTCCAGAATAAGTTTGCATGATTCCAAACCCAAGATTTCCAGAGGTTTCCTGTGAAAGAATAAGGATTTCCTTCTTAACTGCAACAGGAGTAATTGATGAGTATTAAAACAAAGATACAATGCTGCCAATAAAGGTTATGGCACTAAGTAGTGGTTTGTGAAGATGCAAACAGTTATTTCACTTATATTAGTTTGAATATATGTATAAAGTTTTTCAAATGCGTAACATTTTGGAACTCCTTGCTGAGAAAGGACCCAATGAACACCAAAGGGGGACTCTCGAGAGTACCTGGAAATGTTCTTGATGAGGACAAGCTTCTCTGCGCTGTTTGCTCCCCACACCACTTCAAATTTGACAAGTGTTTAATCAACAGAACTGATGTCAAACGTGTGGAAGTTCCACAATTGTGTGGAAGAATACTCAGGCAAAAAAAAAAACACTACTCCAGTATTAATGTAGCACTGCGAGGAGTTAAATAAATGTTGACCCAGTGTTAATGTACTACTATGGGAGTTGAATAAACGCTGACCCAGTGTTAATGTAGCACTATGGGAGTTGAATAAACACTACCTCAGTGTTAATGTAACACTGGGGGGGGGGGTTTAAAAACTGCCTCTGTGTTAATGTAACACTATGGAAGTTAAATAAACACTGACTGTGCTAATACTGCAACACAGTTGTTGAGTAAAACTGGCCCTGTGTTTATGTAGCACTATGGGAGTTGAATAAACACTGAATCACTGTTAATGTAACACTCTGGGAGTTAGATAAACACTGCCCCAATGCTAATGTAACAATGTGGAGGGGGGTAAATAAACACTGGCCTGGTATTAATGTAACACTATGGAGGGGTTAATGTAATTGAAAAAATGTCACCTCATCTTGAAATTATTTTCCACATTTGAAAACTACTTTAAAGGAGTCTGTGAGCTAAAAGAGTGGGTCACTCAAGAAGATGGACATATTTAATTAAGAATATTGACCAGGGTTATATGCATTTAATGTAAAATTGGATTTCCCAAAAGGGATTTAAAAATATTCAACAATGTTATCTTTGGGAATACATTTGTTTTACAAAATCCTAAAATCAACAAGTAAATGGTTAATCAACAGGTAAAAATTAAGTTCGCAGAGTGAATAACCTTTTTACTACGTTTGCACTATTGACTTTTCTACTTTATTTGATGTTTCTCAGATTTTAAAAAGGTGTGAATGGGTTTGTCAGAGTCATACACACATGCTTGAGGCGTGGCCTAAATGTTTACCCCCTAAACCCCGCCCATCTATCTCAATAACGTCACACCCAACCAATCAGAGTGGCTGTTTATCGTTCACAAGCTTTATAAAGTCTGTCACTGAAGCGCAAGATTACCAGCAACTGACAGCGCGTCTAGCTCCAAATTTAGGCGCACAATAATATTTGTTTATGCGGTATTTTCCCATAACGTAGTTATTTTATACTATTTTACAGTACAGCCTAACATAGTTAAATAATAAAATGTATCTATGGGTCGCTTGCGTGTCCGTTATTTTTGTGCCGTTACTTTGCGAGGCGCGAATCTCTAAGCGTTATGTCATCGGATGTCCGGAACGCTGCGACAAGAGTCTGTGTCCCCCGGTTCCGAGCGACTGTCTGGCCGGAGAAATCCTGGACCAGTGCGACTGCTGCCCTGTTTGTGCAGCCGGTGAAGGTGAGCCCTGCGGCGGCTCGGGCAAACTCGGTGACCCGGAGTGTGGAGAAGGTCTGGGATGCGTGTCCGAAGGAGTCGGGGCAACGGCCACGGTGAGAAGACGAGGAAAGAGCGGGGTGTGCGTGTGCAAGAGCCCGGAGCCCGTCTGCGGCAGTGATGGGGTGTCCTACAAGAACATCTGCGAGCTCAAAAGGATCAGTAACCGGGCGCAGAAACTCCAGCAGCCGCCTGTTATCTTCATCCAAAGAGGAGCCTGTGGGAAAGGTAAGAGTTTTTTTAGGGTTTCACAGAATATATAACCAGTCTTGATTAAGTTTTAGACACAAAATTCATTCAAATCTGGGACTATAAATGTATACCAGTAGAAAACACTGGATGTCAAAGCGTTTTCAGCTGTTATTTTGAATCAAAGGATAGAAACCCAAACTTTCAATGAAATAAAAGATGGAAACACTTTCTTCAAATGGACTGAAACTAGCTTAAACAATTTTGTTTTTGTTCCTGAACCAAATTAACATGCAATCTTCTGTTGATATAATCAGAAAAATATTTTTTTTATTGATGGTCTCCATAAAAATCAATGCAGGCTACTACATGATACAGCAAATCATAACCAATGCACTCCATTCCATGAAGTCTCGGGCTCCCATGCCCTAAAGCTCCAGTGTCTGCTTTATTGCTTTTATCAGCACATACCATCTGTTCAAAAATACACGACTAGATACTTTAGGATTGGATTGTTGCAATATTTAAGTCGACTGTAAACACAAAAGCTTTTTTAGATTTGACCAAAGAAAAGCTCTAAAGCTCAATTTCACGAGTTATGCACGACATCGGAAACATTCAGAGCCCCAATTTTTTTGACTGGGTCAAATAAGTATTTGACGTTTTAGATTCTTTCTCACTGCACCACTGCTGACAAATCTAGACCCCTCCACGATTTCTAAGTATAGCCGAACTTGCAAAATGACTGGGTGATCAAAAAGAAGTGTTGACCATTAACTTTTCATTAAAACCAATATTTGCCTTCACCACAGCAACAATTCTTCTAGGTAAAATTGCACACAAATAGAACAAAAAAAAAACTGAAATCTTGGACAGCTTACCTACGTTATGCTCAGGATAATTCTTAATGACTTTGCAGCATACATTTGGGGTCAATTATTCTGCAGAAATGCAGCCACAATGTTCAAGGAAACTCCATCATGCTTATCTGTTGCCTAGAGATTCCTTTATGTACTCCTCTCCAGGCCGTTGTCAAACAACATACATTACATTTTGACTCATCAGTCTGGAGGACCTACTGCCAATTTTCCAATTCAACCGGAGGTATGGCTTTTTGGCTGCAACTCTTTCACAAAGACAAACTCTGTCCAGACATCTCCAGACAGTAGCTGGGTGTACCTGGGTCCCCTAGCTTTTACCAGTTATGAGCTGGACATCTTATGTTTTATAAGTTTTAATTGTCTTGAACATAAGGTCTCAAAACCCCAGCCTGCTTTGAAATCTTTGTCTGGGAGAGACTTTATTGACATAGTATCAGTACATTTTCCAGGTATAGGCCTCCTACAAAGCTGTTTTTTTATCAGTTCGAGATTGATTTTTAACATTGCTGATCATTAGCACCTGGTATCATTGGTGGATCGCACACGTGACCATAACCCTTCTAAATCCACGACTTTCTGAACGTGCTGAATTGATGCTGGTTTATTTATTTTTTGATTATTATTTATATTTTCACGCCTGCCTAAAACTTTTGCTTTATGTTTGCTCACTTCAGGCCACAGTGCTACTTACTGTGCCACCCTATAAAACATAATTGAAAATATTAATTCAATAATAGTGATACAGACCACAAAGTAAAAATATGTTTACGTACAGTATAGCTGACCAATAAATAATAAGAAAAACCATTAGCAGCCATTCACTCGATATCCTTCTTAAGAGAAGACTTTACTTTTGACCATGATATGATAGAACAGTGTGCTAATGGTGCGATCGATAGAACAAAGTATGGATGAACAGATTTAAAATTGGTTAAAACAAAAATTGTTACCGTAGTTTTTTGCCATATAAGACGCATCCAAATTTTAAATGAGGAAGATCTAGAAAAAAAAGATTCTGAACCAAATACTGTAGTAAAATATTTTATATCAACTGTGTAAAAGTTAACAGCAGTTTAAGAACAATTATATGCCAAACATGTAACATGACCGTATTTTGGATCAGTAAAAACAACAAGACAAACATACCGGTATGTTTTTTCTTTGCCCCCACTCATCCCTCTAAAGTCCACCATTCGTCATCACCATTACTGTTCCAGTGCAACATTGCCCCCACATTTGTAATACCGTAATAGCCAGTAACATTGTCACCACATTAGTAATACCGTAATAGCCAGTAACATTGTCACCACATTAGTAATAATAGCTGGCACAATGCAGCTGTTTACCTGCTCCTTACGATCCGCGCTATGGTAGGATCGACGAGCAGAGATGGGCGAGGACGGCAGAGCGCACCGCCGGGTATACAACTACAAATATGGCAGACGGCTCCGGAGCTAGGCCAAAGCCGCGGCTTCTCTTACGCCTCTCCTATGGCCATGACCGTCCTGCGCTCCGCGGCGCTCTGCATTCACCGTATAAGACGCACCAACTTTTCCTCCTCAGTTTTGTG